CAATTCTTATATGATAACCAATATAGACGAAAGAAAAAGAGAAAAAAGACCGCAGCTTAAGTTTAAACTGTCTACTTACACTATGACTACTTAAGTCAGTTTTCTAATTCTTCAACTATAATTTGTTCAATTTTCTTGTTTCTCCAGTTTTCGATTTATGTAAAAGAAAAACAACAAAAAATTTGAAACTATACTTTTAAGTCGACCACGTTGCTGTAATAAAACTTATCGTAGAGCAAACAGTGAACAACATTTCATTTTGAAGAAAAACTTTATAGTACGAGAAAAAAAGATCTGAGTTATTATAAAAAAAAAAATACTTCGTTAAAAATGATTGCAAACTGACCAAATGAGTTGTTCAGTTAGTGTCACTTCTGAACAATATTACTTTCATAAACGTAAAAAGCTTTAAACATAAACCAACGTAACTGAACTAAACTAAAAAACATAAAAATCAAATTCAAAAGTTTGAATCTAATTAAAAATCAAATCTTTATTCTTATACTATTTTTTTTCTTCTGCTGATTGTAATGGTTTAATCTGCTGCTAAAGGCAGTAAAATATACTATTTCTTAATTTAATTTGCTTTTATTGTTCACAGAGACCTCTCTTTTTTCCCCTCTTATGGTTATAGTTATTTGAACAGCAAAGTAAAAAAAAAAGAAGAGTAGAAAAGAAAAACAGATGATACAATTTACCAGTTATTCATTGTTCGGAAAACCTCGTTACATTCCAGTTCAGTTTTCATTCCAACGTTAGCATTACAATAGGGAAATCCATAGAAACCCCATTTGGCATTCGGTCTTAATCGTTTGCCCAGTTGAATTGTTTCACTCATAAAAGTCCTTAAAAATCAAATAAATATTTTGCTGCTTGTTTCCTATACTTTATTGTTTACCAACAAATCTTTTACACCTAAACAGCAAAATATCTGTTATTTTCAACTTCACTGTTAAAATTTCTATCTCTACACCTTCTTTGGAGCAAAAAAAAATTTATTTACTTTCCGCCCAAGTGACAGCATTAATTTGCACGTTTCTTCTGTTGTTTTTTTTTGCACTAGTCACCATGTGAGTTCAACTCAAAAACAAAGAATTTTAATTTGGTATTAGATTAATTTTTCTCGTAAATCATTTTTTTCTCGTTTTTTATTTCTGTTATTGCTGTATGAGAAAACAGTTTAAACTTTTAGCTAATATTTCAATTAAAAAAAACAAAAAACTGCAAAGAATTTTACAAATTTCAAAAAATCACCACTGGTATTAACAATCAAAAAAATTAAAAAGTTTTATCACCAGCAAAAACGACACAAAGAACAGCAAATCAAAAATAGAGTATTAAAAAAAACAATTAAAAAAAGCGAGCAAAAAGTGTTAAAAAAAATTCTTAAGAGACGAAGGTATAAAAAAGACAAAAAAAATTACATACACTTACAGAGCATATTTTTCGAATTCTGCTGTCGCTAAAGCAATTGCCATTCGTTTGCTAATCTTACCGGTTCGATTATAAACATACTCGATAGATTTATCTTGGTAAATTCTTTTGGAACCCCAGTTCATCGAAAACACCGGTCTCCATTCCTCATAATCAATGATTGCCAAACCATCGAAACTCTCTGACGGTATTGCCCGAATAAAGTCTTTTTCGGCAAGGGTAAGATGTAAACTCAAGTTGGCTTTCTGCAAGTAAACATTGGCTTTGTCATATAGCCAACAATCAACGGTTTCTTCTGCTCCTACCAAATCATTACCTCGCGTCAAACTTATATGCATTGAAGTAGAAGTAAGGTGAATACAACAATAACGATGAAAATTAATAACACCAAAGCAAAGAAAGTTGGTTGACGAAAAACAACAGGTCAGTGAAAATAACAAAGCTAAAAAAAACCAAAAACTAAAAGAATTTTGTGATTCAAACGTTGCATATTAGTCTTTAAGGCATTTTGCAAAGTACAACCCTCAATTACAAATTCAGATCAATTTTTACTGTATTAACAAATGTAAAATCTCTTGTTCCAATCATCACATTACGAGTAGATAAAAACTTAGTTGACATTATTTGCTGTAACGATATTTTAAAGTCACAAAATTAACAGCAAAAGAATATGCAAATTTTTTTCTTCTCTTTATTACTTAAATCTCATTCACTCTGTCTGAACCGTTATCAGCAGACAACATTCGGGTGACGAATGTACAGAAAGCTTCAATAATTCATACTTTTTTTTTTTTGTTTTCATGTGGGGGGAGGGTGGAGGGAAGTACGGTGAGAGCAAGCGGAGCTGAGAAGGTGAAACGGAGGTTTCGAGTGCGGGTGAAAAGAAGAGGGAGTGAATAGAAAATAGACTTGATCGGCAGAAACTGATTGCCAAAAAAATTTCTAAACCAAAAAATAGGAAGATAGCAGTTTTTATAAATCGTCGAAAAGAAGAAGCGATACAAATGCAGAAAAGACAATGAGTGTATCAAAAATGATCAAAAACCAGGTAGTGAAGTATCAAGAAATTACTTCTTTTTCTCTAGCACCACGTCACGTATCACTATAATTTACACCACGTATGTTGCAAAGCAATGCCGTATCATGAGCACTGTTAAGGTCTTCTAGAACTTCGTATTACTAGACCTGTCAACTTCTTTCTATCTTCATTAGGCAGAAAAATTGAGGAGGATTAGAGGAGAAAAAAGTAAAAAAAAATAGAAACGAAGAAAGGAATAGCAACAGATATTTAATCTCTTTTCCTTCCCAAACTTTCTTTGATGGCTTTTCTTTATCTCTTTTTTGTTTTTTTTTTTTTATTTTTAAAAATTTGTGTCTTGTTGGTCAAAAAAAGAATAAATCTGGCTAGAAAAAAAAAAAAAAATGTAAACTGTGGCATTAAAAATACAACTAATCAAAAAAAAAAAAGGATAAAAAACTTCTTTTCTGCAAAAAGTTCTACTACTGTTCCGGATAACCAAAAGCATGAATAAATTTGAAAAATTGAAAAAAAAAGACAAAAACCAATTAATGAATTGACAAAACATAAATCTAAAAAATTATATCGTTATTTCTTCAGCTCGCACTTTTGCTTTCCTCCTTGTTCCTGTACCACCTCCTCCCGCTTTTTAAACTATTATAATGACATATTCAACGTTCCAAACTGGATGTTTTTATAATATAGACCTCTTTTTTTCTCAAGACCATTGCACACTTGAAGAAATGAAGACAATTAATTGGTAAAATTTTTGTCTAAAGAATGGTTTGAAGTTGACTGACATTAGAAGAACAACAAAACAACAATAACAAGTTCAAAAGGTTTCTGTTGTCGAACGCGGCAAATAAATAAAAATTATGATAAACCTGTGGTAGTCCGCCGAAGTGTGGAATCTGATTACTGTCATAGTATGGATAAGCACCAAATTTATGCGAGTAAAGCGTCACAATTTTTTCACCGTAAAAACTATGATTTTCGTTAAAAATAAAACCGTACTCGTCCAACGGCGGTACTGCACCGCGCGAATAACAAGCCTGACTCGGCAGATTCCAGTATGCCTACAACTGCTTTGATTATTCAGATTCTCTGTCGACAACATTGGCTAGCCTTACAACTCTTCTTTTTTGATTCTCATAGTACTAAGCATTTTTTTCACCAAGGAAAAATAACACAGAAAATGTTTGATCATCATCATCATCAGCAAGAACACCAACAACAACCACAACAATATCATCTAAAATTTTTAGTGCTGTTATAAAACATTTTTGAAAATGCTGAAAAAAAAAATAAAAAAATAAAATCTCTTCAACGTCAAACGTTAATCAGTCTAGAATGCTCAGTTTTCTTGTTTTGGTATGTTAGTAAATTATTACCACTAAATTAGAGCTATGAGGTCTACTTGAACAATGCCTTTCGTGTTTAAC